AAGACCCGACCTGAGGACTCATGATGCTGGCCCCCAGCCAGACCAAGACCTGACCTGAGGACTCATGATGCTGGCCCCCAGCCAGACCAAGACCCAACCTGAGTTCTGCCCTCACCGCCCCGGGCTAGGGTCACAGGGACCCTATATGCAGAGAGCTGGGTGGGGTCTGCGCAGTGGGCAGTGGTGCCCACAGGGACACCGCCACCCCACTGGAGAGGCTGGCCTTTCACAGGCAACCTGTCTCCCGGTAACCACACTTACTCGTAGCTCATCCTCCATGAGACCCCCAGGGAGCTTCACCTACCCACGACCAGATGTGTCCATCTCACCTAAGAGACGGCAGGTCCTGGGCGCTCGCCCTGGGGTCTTTCTAAGTCTTCCCACATCTTCATTCCGCTCACACCCCAGGCTCTCTGCCTCTGGGCCTTAGCATGTGCTGTCACCCCGCTGCTGCTTCCGGGCTCCCATCCTCCACGTCTTGACTTCAGTGTTACTTCAGCACAGCCCCCCTCGCCTCGGCATCTCCCTGCTCAGATCAAACCCCACGTGACCGCAGCACAGCAGCTGTTCACTTCCTCCCAGAAAGCCCCTCCAAGGCTGCATCCTGCCTTCAGTGTCTTGTTGACAAACGCAGCAGCCGGGACAGGCCCTGTCGGTGTGGGGCAGCAGTGGACTCAAGCCACCCCACACACACCTGGAGGCCCTCAAGCCCCTCCATCCGTCCACCCAGGGCTCAGGAGTGAGAACAAGGACTGTTAACAGCGGGAGCTCCTGTCTGCAGTCACCAACAGTGGGCCATGAATGACCTCATCCGACCCTCCCCTCTACTAGGGTGTCCACCTATCACTGGCACTTCACACATGGGGAAACTGAGGCTGAGGAGGTTAACCAGCAGCTAAGAAAATGGCATTTGCCCTGCTGTGAAGGTGCCCAGAGCCAGTGCCCTGCTGCCTGACCACAAAACCGCCAGGAGTCAACCCCGGGGGGGGGGGGAAGAGTGCACCCCCATGTGGCCACACAGGATCAAACTACATATTGCTGCATGATTTTATTACTATAAATATACAGTAAAAACAAACAAAAAACTAGCCAATCAGAGTACATCAAGTGATAGCACGGGTAGGTCCAAACGGGCAGCGCCCTTCACACAGCACATGCTCCGAGCCCAGGGGTGAGCCGCGAAGACACCCGCCTGCGGGGCGTGGAGGTGCGTGCACGCAGGCCACAGCTCAGCACCGTGCGGCCGGAGCGGTGGTGTGGGAGCTGAGCACGGGTGTGGCCTGGGGGAGGCAGAGCTGCGAGGCAAGGGGACCACGTGCAGGTTCAACTGGAGGAAGAGTCTAGTTCTCCCGAGCTGCAGGCTGGGCAAAGCCAGAGCCCAGCCAATCCAGCTTCAGAAGGGGATCCCAGGACGCTTTGTAACCCAGGAGCCGCATGGGTCCCTGCCGGCTCCAGCCCCTAGGGGGCAGCTCTTGGCCTGCAAGCACCAAAGCCCGGTGCAGCCCTTCACCTTTGTGCTCCACAGACCCTGCTTCCTGACGGGTCTGCTCCTGGAGCCCCAGACAAGGAGTCAGAAATACACGAGGACACTGACATGGCATGGGGAGCCAGGGCAGCTGTGTGGCCCCTTCAGGGTGGCAGACCCACCAGGAGGCCGCCATGGGGAGGTGTCTGAGACGGCAGCGGGCCAAGGCCTCCAAGAAGTTGCAGGCAGGCCCAAAACCACCAGCACACAGTCCACGCCCACACCACGCCCCACCTCGCCTCGTGACCCCTGGCTGCCTGGGGCACTCCAGCCAGCCAAGGAGACGAGGGCAGAGCCAGAGCGTGTGGCCAGGCTGCACCACCGGCCCAGAGGGCCCAAAGCAACAGTGACACCCATGCGTGAGACACCCAGGCCCACTTCCCTTCACGGACTATGACCTGGACCCCACGTCCTGCCTGTCATCTGTGAAGCTTGCTTTTCATGGCCAACAAAGGCCCCTCCACCAGTCCTGTGAGCTCCTGGGTGCCAGCGCCATGGCTGGGGGCTGGGACAAGGGGACTCCAGGCCACCCCGCCCCACACCTCAGCCAGCGGCAGGAGAGGAAACGGGCTGAAAGCTGCCATCCTTCATCCGTACCACCTACAGAGACGTCGACCGGAGAAAACAGGGAGTCGGGGCCAGTCCGTGTGCTCTTTGATCAAGGGCCACCCAGTCCTCAGGGCCGGCAGCTGTGGGTGTGTGCAGACAGGAGGCCAGGGTGGCCCTCAGCCACGCGGAGAGCTGAGGGTCCCATGCCGTCAGCCAGGCTGGCTCTCAGAGGAGGGTCAGCTCGGTGGCCCCGAGGTCAGGACGGGGGCCACCCAGGAGAGGGTGGGGGCGGCTGGCGGTGCTGAGGCCGTGGGGCGTCTCTGCAGAGGGAGAACATCCTGCAGGCGGGAAGCAGAGGGGAGTTATGCCCGGCCGCCGGCCCAGCCTCACCCGCCAGGCCCAGGGCTCCACAGGCCCGTGAGCCGCAGCCCCAGGGCCTGCGGAGGGTGGAAAACAATAGCTGCTGCCGGGTGAGGCTCCCTAGCCTCCAGACGCCAGGCCGGCAAGGACACAGCCGCCCAGCTGTCCCACGCCCGAGCTGAGAGCTGCCCCAGTCAGCTTATCTCCAGATGGTGCCCCAAGGATGCCAGACGACGTTCTGTCTGCTCCTGTGTACACGTGCACACTACACACACACACACATATACACGGACGGCCTGGCTCATGAGGGTGCATGCACGCATACACAAACGAGCAGTCGGGCTCAGGAGGGGGCATGCGTGCGCACACACGTGCGCGCACACACACACACACACGGATGGACGGCCTGGCTCATGAGGGTGCATGTGCGCACACACACAGATGGTGGCCTGACCCACACGTTTCACAGGCTGTAAAATGCCCTGTGGTCTGGGCTGACTACCTGCCCACCCTGACGCTAGGAGCCATGGACACCATTACCTAGCAAACCAAGAAATGCTTTTCCACGGGCACCTGGTGGCCTGGGCCAGGACCCCTGGCTCAGTGAGGAGCATCTCTGGCAGCGGCCAGACACTTCTCTACAGCCAGGCCTGTTTCTTACTGCTGCAAGTTTATACTAATCCCAACTCTAGGCACAGATTGTCCACCAACCCTAACCCTGACCCTGACGCTAACTGCCACGGAGGCTGCAGCCAACTTTCTAGAAGCGTCGGGTCCTGTCTCACAGAGGGGCAAGATCTGTCAGAAGACCTTCGAGGATGACAGGAAAGGTTTTAGTGGGGACATGAGACGAGCTGTCCAACCAATAAAGACAGATGTGAAAGCCTCATCTGGTCAGGTGAGCTGACCAGGAGCGCACGCCATGACCCAGACGGCAAAGACCACATCCGGGAATGCGTTTCTCATGTGGGCGTCACATGGAGGCCCGCCTACAACAGGCCTGGCAGCCCGTGCACCCTGGGCTGGGACCCCAAGTACTAAAAAACTTGACTGACCCATCGAGGCCACGTGGGAAGCGCTGTGGCTCCCGACTCCGCCAGCTGCCCCAGAATGTGGGAGCCAGGCGCCTGCAAGAACCTGGGCTGACAGTCTAGGCCCACAGGGACACCATGGCCGGGGAAGGTGACGGGAAAATCTGAAGGCCTTCCTCCCACTGCCCTGCCAGGACGCCCAGAAGAGCCGCCCGAAAGCCAAGAAGGGAGGTCACGTACCAGCTTACTTCTCTATACCAACAGAGCAGGAGTCGGGACCCAGGGCTGTCAGAGAGGAGGAGACAGACGGAAGCTTGGTTAGCAAAGCCTGGACTACACGGGCCAGGAAGGGCAAAAATGCCCGACCCAGCAGATCCGCAGGAGCAAGGGGAGTGTGTGCCAACACCACGTAAAGCAGAGCACGGGCCCCGGGAGCCGTCCGGCTGGCGGCCCGCACAGAGCAGATCCCCGAGCCCAGCGCTCCGACTGCTACGGGGCCGCTTCCATCTCCAAAGGGTCTAGGGCCGGACGCTTCATGCCGGGGCTGATGGGGGTGGACCCCAAGGCACGAAGGTGGACGCCTGAGCCCTGAAAGGCCTCACCCCATGGATCCGGGACACTGGGGACCTGAGCGTTCCTCATTTCACACATTTTCTCCTGACCCACCTCTTTCTCCGTCAGGAAGGAACACAAATGCCCAGAGTTACGCTGCCTCTGTCAGGGGACAGCTGTGCAGTTATCAAAAAGGAAGGACAGAGGGGTAGGGTGTGTTTGTCTGCATGTATGTGTGCATATGTGTTCACGATCTCTCACATGGATGCTGACAAGATGCCTGACACGCCTTTAAGTGGCAAAGCCTGCAGAGTGATGGGTGTTAGTCAGGCACATGTGACAGGTCTCTAGGGTGTGCGTGGCAAGACTGCTGCACAGTCTGCTCCAAGGCCTTTGACAGCTGGTGAACCTGAGCTGAGGGCACGCAGTGAAGCGTCTGCAGCCAAGAGCAAGTCCGAGAGGAGCAGCTGGGCTTCCGGCACTCAGATCCCGCCCTAACCTGGCTCACAGCCCTGGAGCCCAACGAAGAACAACGCTTGGCTTCTGCTTCCGGGTTTCTGAAAACAGCCCGAGCAGTTACGGTACAGTCTCTAATCAGCCAGGCCTGAGGCAGGCGTAAGCAAGTGAGGGCTAGCAGGCTCGACGCTGGCAATGGGCCAGGGGCGGGGCTGCTGCATAAGCCTGTTCATCGACCGATCACGACTATGTGCTGAGACCCCATCCTGCATATTCACGCAGGTCCCACTGACTGGGGGACCCAGGACCTCGGCGCGCTTGGGGGCCTCCAGGATCATGCATCGTCTCTGGGACGATGGCAGCCGTGCGCCAGGACCGCCCCCAGACCTTGCGTGATTCTCGGCTTGTATCCTTTCAGTCAGAATCATCAGGGACCGGGGGAAAGCAAGCACAGTGAGAGCTGGCGGGGCTGGGAGGACAGAGTCCTCATTGTGGAGGTCATTGTGTCAGGGTCAGACAGTGTCACGCGGACGGCTGGCATCAGGATGAGGAAGTGGGAAGGTGGGGACGTGAGGGGTCTTCACGCTTTGGAAGCTAGCCTCATGCCGGTTATATTCCTGTTCCCCTCCGTCCCCCACCCCCAGCAGAAAACCGTCATAAGGAGACCGACACTCCGCCCAGGACTGGGACACAGACTCCACCCAGAAGGAGTCTGCAAGGAGTGGCTGTGCCCACCTTGGGTCGTGGCTGCCCGGCAGGCCCCCTCACCCCCACCCCATCTAAGGCAGGGTCAGGGCAGGGCCACGTGCAGGGCCCCCATCTTCCGCCTGCCCCCGGAGCCCCCCGCGGGCCCCCATCTTCCGCCTGCCCCTGGAGCCCCCCGCAGGCCCCCTCTAACTGTACGGCTGCTAACCGCTTCTGCCCAGGGTCTGTGTGTGGGGAAGGCTCCTCTGTAACCAATAACAAATACTGATCTTAGCTTTGGGGACCCTTTCACAGGCTGCTGCCGAGGGTGGGACGAGCGGGCCTTTTCCACCAAAGCCCCTTGAGACCACCCCCACCCCAGACCGTGACCAGGCATCCTGACAGATCGAGCAGTGGTTTCAGCATAAGGCTGGGGGCACTGGGCTCGGGAATCTAGAACACCCACCCCCCGTGGTGTCTGGGAGCCGAGCACAGACAGTTGAGAGCGCCCCAGCCCGAGCCCTGCTCCTGCTGCCTTCCTGGGAGCCCAGGGTCCGAAGTGAGGGACTCTGAACCCCCAGGGCAGAAGGCAGGGGGATGAGCCGACAGGGCCCAGCCTGGGCTGGCAGGAAGAGTGGGAGAAAAGCAAAGCCCCGTGCACTGTCCTCAGCCTTGCTGACAGCCCGGGCGCCAGCCTGGGACACACTGCCTCCCCTGGGTGTCCAGGGAGCCAGCTGGCTGTCCCTGCTTTCTCTGGCCTGGACCAGCCCACCTGACATGAAGCCATGAGCTCGCTCTAGGGCTTTCTGCCTGTAGCCCCACTGTCCCATCGGTGGAGGACAGGGAACCTGACACCAGCCGGCCCGGAGCTCAAGGGCAGGGCAGGTCTTCTAACCAGCAGCCTCTGCCCAGCCCGCAGCGGGGCTGAGTCTGCAGGAGTGGGGCCTCGTGGAACCTGCCCTGGCCTGGGCCCCAAGCTGGGCAAAGCACAGGTGTCGAGCCAGGGGGACCAGACACTGGCTCCTGGCAGCCAGCTCCTGCCACCGTGCACTAAGGACAGCATCACAGCAGGGGACCCCACCTGGGTGGGCGTCCCCAGAGTCCACGGGCCGAGTGCTGTACCTGGCAGGTAGACGTCAGCAGGGCCGCTGTCCTGTAGGACGCTCTCCACGGATGCGGCCTGGCTCCCTGCAGCAGGGAGGGGCAGGTCAGGGAGGCCGAGCCCAGGAGCCCATCGTCCCTCCACCTGAGGCCTTCCAACACCCCACCCGAATCCTCCCTGCAGGGGCTCGAGGTGGGCAGTTCCCCTTCTCACCACCGCCCCCTCACCCCTCCTTTTCCTAACCCCAGGTCTTTTACCAGCTTAAAAGGTCAAACAGTGATGGCTGGCAACTGTTCGTCATCGACCCCCCAGGGCAAGCCGCGTGACCTCCCCACCCCAATGGCCCTGCCACCCTGGTTTGAGACCAGGACATGGCACTGCCTCAGGGGGCGGCAGCTCCTATCTAACTGGTGAGGGACTTGCTGGGAGGGCCCTCAACGACCACAGCTGGTGAGGAGGCTCAGCCCAGGATGTGGCCGAGTGCCTGACGCAGGGGACAGGGCTGGGAGCTGATCAGGGGCCCTGCCAAGCCACATGCAAAGACGGCAGGTGTGAGGATGCTGTGACTAAGCCCTGGCCCAGGCCCTGGACAGTGGGCAGGGAGGCCCAGCCACCCTGGGAGGGCCACGGGCAGGGCAGGCCGCCGTGAGTGTGGCCTTGGCATCCGCCCTTCCTGGGAAGGAGGGACTCACCACGCTTCAGCGACAACACCATCTCATCAACCTCTTCTATGATGAAACTCTGGAGAAGAGAGAGGAAAGCTGGGCTGCAGCCTGGGCCACGGCTGCGGGCGGCCAGGGGAAGCCACCACGGCCCAGTGCACCACCACTCCCGCCCCAGGCACCCAGCGTCTTGCAGGGCTGCCACTGCACAGCCAGGACACGGACTGGTGTGCACGGGTACCCAGCGTGCTGCCAAGTGGGACACCCGACAGGCCGCTGTGAGTCAGAGAGGCAGGCGGTGGGGGCCCACTCCGAGGGAAAGGCACTCAGGCTCCGGAGGCAGGGCCTCACCGTGGGGGCGGGGCCTCTCCGTGAGGGTGGGGCGTGGCCGCCCCTGGGCGGGGCTTGGAGCCGGCTGGGCAATAGGGCAGCTGGGAGCAGGGCCAGGCCTCACCTCTGGGGAGCTGCTTTCTCGAAGCACCAGCTCGGCCCCGCTTAGTAGGGGAGGAGCGTCCGAGTCCTCAGAGAGCTTCTCCTCGTCGTCCTCGTGGATGGGGGACGATGGGGACAGCAGGGTACTGGGGGCGGAGGGGGCACAGAGTGAGGGCGAGCGTGGAGGGAACGACGCCAACCCCGCTGAGCCACACTGGCCAGGGGCTCTCGTGCCAGGGCTCCACCTGGCAGTGACCTCGCAAACGTCCCCAGGAGTATCAGTGACAGGAGCTAGCCCAATGCCCAGCAAGTGGGGACAGGCAGACCTGCTGGCAAAAAGGCTCAATCCAGGCCTACGCTGGCACATGTCTAAACGGGGCAGAGAGCTGGCCAGTGCTGCAGCAAGCCTGGGGTGGGGATTATCAGGACACGGACACCCACCCCTCCTGTCTCCGGAGTTATCAGATCGCAGGGCGACTGCAGGCCCTGTGTTGCTGTTTGCAGATACTGTTGTTTTTTACACACAGCTCTGCAGCAGCCCGGTGTGGAGCTAGTCTTTATCCACACCACTTTCCCAACAGTATGCACTCCCTTCTCGTCTCTCTCCCCCACTTTGGTCATTCTCACAACATTTCAAACTTTTTCCTAATGCTACTGTGTACTTATCAGACTACAGGATAGTGCAACCGTAACTCTGACCTGTACCATGAAACCAAAACATTTGTTAACTCTACTGCAATATACGCTTCAGCATGGGGGTCTAGAGCCGCACCTGCAGTACCTCAAAGGCAGGCCTGTACGCTTCTGTGTAACAAATCCACCACGCGTGGGAGGAACAGTCCCCGCCACCATCTGCCTTCTCTCGCCTTGCATGCCACAGAGGGAACCATGACCCACCCCCGGCCACGCCCTGCCAACGTGGCCCTTGGTTAGAGCAGATGACCGCTCAGTCGCCTGGAGCCGCGGCCCGAGCTGCACTGGCCGTCCCGGCAGCTCTGGATGAGCCGAGGGCAGGCACCTGGCTTCATCATGGGGCCCTGCACTTCAGTGCCCACATGCCCAACCTTTCATGAAGTCCTCGCATCTGGAGACTCGAACGGCCTTCCCCGGACGCACCGCCCCTGCAGCGTGCCACCAGGGAGGGGCACCCCTGCCCTGCTCTGTATGCTTTGCTGTAATGAACCTGCTGTCCTTTGTTAGCTGACGTCAAAGCTGGCCCCTGACTCCCAGAGACCAAATGCACAACGGAAGGAAGTGCTGCCCAGTCCTGTGTTGTCCCGTGGGCGGCTTCAGGTCAGACTGCTGGGACCCACAGGGTCGCCAGGAGCCGGTGTGGGGAGCACACTGCTACCCTTTCTTCCCTGTCTGCACCTGGAACCTCCGCCAAAACCTGCACAGCAACAGGTGGGCCTCCGACGACAACGGGCAGGGCCGCGGGAGCCACCTCGGCCGAGAATCAAACTCGCGTCTCCCTACTGCCTCACGGCAACGAGCCTCGGCCCTGAGAGTGAGCTGCCCTGGATCTGCCAAGCGCTGCTGGTGAACCACGGAATGAGACCTATCACCGAAAGCACCACCAGCCCCGACTGAACCTCACGTGGGCTTCCCGCTGTCCCTCCCGCTCTCCCTCCCTCCCTCCCAGGCCCGTCAAGAGCAGGGCTTGGGTCCTGAGAGCGAGGCCCGGACAGCGTGCTCACCTGTCAGGGGACTTGGTCCGTGGCTGGCCCTTCTGGTGGCTGCTCTCCATGACCTGCTCGATGCCAGCAAGTGGACAGCTAGCCTGGGACAGGCCGTCTGAGACCCCCGAGTAGGTGATCTCCTCATACAGGGGGGCTGAAGGGATGGCGGGGGAGACAGCCCGCAGGCCGTTGAGCGCCTGGAGCAGGGAGATGGGCTCATAGCCTGATGGGACGCTGTCAGGGCTCTGTGGGGACAAGGTGAGGTGAGAAGGGCTGGCCGGCCGAGCCCCCTGCCCGCTGCCCAAGGACGCAAAGCCCAAGGTGCCGGGCTGGCAGTTCAGTCCCGTCTCTTCTCAGTAAGTGTGTCCGCACCACCTTCCAGGGACGTAAACTGCCCTCTCCTGAGCCGCTCTGAGAAAAGACTCCCCAGCTTGGGGCCCCTGGGCTGGCAGCAGTGGACCCCAAGCTCACATAAAAGGCACAAGCTCTGCAGGCTGAGGTGGAAAGCCGGCCCCCGCCCTTGCCCAGAGAGGAGGATGCAGATGGGCCTGGCTCGCTCCCAACCAGACACCCATGTGGCCTGCTGGTGCCCCTGATGGAGGGCGAGATGGGCTTCCGGCTGGAGCCGCCCCATCTCGGTCTCAGCCTGCCCCTCCCTGGCTCTGACCCTACCTCAGCACAGAGGGGTCAGTGAGAGAGGAATTAGTGATAGCAAGAAGAACCAGGAACAGGTGGAGAGCAAAGCCATGCTAAGGACAGCCAGTCAGGGCGCTGGGTCCCAGGCCAGGGGGAGCCTGGTCCCCGGGGCGCTGGGTCCCAGGCCAGGGGGAGCCTGGGGCTGCACCCAGCACAGGCGTCCAGACTGGCTCCAGAGTCCCCTCATGGGCTGGGGCATGTGTGGGGGTGACTACTGTTCCAGGTGGGCTCCAGGGGGCATCCCTGGTTAAGAACTACTGTCCTCAGCCCTCGCTTGGCTGGGAGTGGAGCCCCTCAGCAATGCTGGGTCTACTTCAGGGTTGACGGTGAAGGCAGAAGGCCCGCCTAGGGCTGCGAGGCAGGCTGTGGCGTTCGCCTTCACTAGACAAGGCAGAGGCACCAGGCCCACAGTGCTCCCTCCGGGCAGTGCTGCCCCGCCTGACTGCAGAGGTGCCGAACAGCCCGGGAACCCCAAAGGGCCCGGCCCTTCCTGTCTCAGCCAGCAGCTCCGGCCACCAGTCAGATGGGCTCGGTGTGCTGCCAGTCCTCCATCTAATCACTGTGGAGCGTCTTCACCCACACCTGATGCCAAATTAAAGGTGACCGATCACTTTGGACCCCTGGCCCCTTCAAAAGGGGAAAAGATACAAATACAGCTGACGCCCCTCTCTCCAGGGTGCACAGGGGAAGTCAGGTTGAAGTTGGGTGCCTGGGCCCGAGGGGTAGTAGGCGGGAGCCCCTCAGAAGCCCCAGGCCTGCTCCCCGAGATGCAGGGAGCACGCAGGAAGGCCAGAGTCCTGGGGCAGGGGCGGGCGTGCACACAGCATGCGTGAGAGGCGCCCTTGGCAAACCAGCAGCGACGCCAGCTCCACCGTCGACGCTCATTCCACTGCCAGCAAGAAAGAAAAGGGAAACGAGGCCATTCGGGCGACCACGGGCGGAAGCAAAGCTGGCAGGAAGGGGCCGCGCTGAGGCCGGCGGGGACGGTACTGGCTTTGTGCCTACAGACCTTGCGCGAGCTTTGCTTGTTCCACAAAACTCCCTTCCAGGGCGGGGGCGCCGGGACTGGGGAGAGCGGATCGACAGGTTAAATGAACCGAACACGTTAGCGTGGGCACACACGACTTCCCGTCCTTGTCGTCTGGAAAACTGAGGGCCCGGGGGCAAAAACGGGGCTGGAAGGCCCCAGTGCACTTACTGTTTCCCTTTTGGGTTTCTTGCTGGCCAGTGAGGCGGGGTGCGACTTTGATTTTTTAAAGGGGCACTGTCGAGATAAAAACCACATGTTTTACAACTACTGCCACCCCACTTGGCACGAGGGCGGCGGAGGGGGTCCCTGGGTGAAGGGGCACTCCGGCCATGGGGACCTTGTTAAACCCAATTTTTGATGCAGGTCAGGTGAGGCTGGGTTTGTGCTGCTATCCAGCTCTCTGGGAGCCCAACACCCACCACCCGTGGTGTGAGCCACAAGCCATCGCAAGACAGGCCCAGGCCCCCACAGGCTCAGCACTGGGCTGGGCTAGGTGGGCACCAGACCCTCCCAGGAGCACAGCAGTCACATTCCGCTCAGTTCCGCCTCCTAAACCAACAGCCGGAGAAGAAAAAAAATTCACTGCCATTGAGTCCATTCTGACTCTTAGCGACCCCTCCTTGGGCTTCCAAGGTGGTATCTCTAAGAAGTAGATGCCCAGTCTTCTTTCTGAGCAGTGGCTGGTGGGTTTGAACTGCAGCCTTCTGGTTAGCAGTCAAATGTCTTAGGCACTGTGCCACCAGAGCTCCTTAACCACCAGGGAGGGCTTGAGATCAGCCCAAAGCAGCCCCACACACGGCCGTCTTTGTGGACTCACTGGGGCGCTTTCTGGTGCGATGTAGGAGTTGCCGGGGCCCCATCTGAGGAGCTGAGCCGCCCAGAGGAAGGCGAGCTTCCTGGAAGGCCTGGGCCATGGGAGCATCTCCTCACTCTCTGGGAACAAGCTTCTGGCTGCAGGCCACCAGGGTGGACACCAGGAGGAGTGGGGAGAGGGAGGGGCAGCAGAACCAGCCAGCCCCTGTGCACCCGCCCCGCCAACTCCCGAACCACCTCTCCTGTGGGCAAATCTCACCCAGGCGTTATTCTCACTGCTGCCAAAACACACACGGCTGGAGAAAGTGCCCACACATGCACATCAGACCCCACATGACACATGCTAAAGGCCCGTCTAGGAGACAGCGGCCATCCTGCCCAGCGGCCCTGGAAGTCAGGGGTGGGCCCAGGGCTTGGGCTCCCCACTCCAAGGGCCACTGCACCTCTGCTCCAACTGCAAGGCCCCAACTTCAGGGTTTGAAGGAGAAGCCAGGCACTGGGTTTGCCTGGACGCGCCTTGGCTCCAGCTTGAGTGCAGGATCCAGAAGAGGGTACAACTGCCACAGCCCCGTGGTTCAAACCACCCCGACTGTTGGAGGGCCTGAATGCCTGGGTCCAAATCACCTTGTCTGAGCACCAAGAAAATGGACTCACCCACTGACCTCGCCCAGGGCCGGCAGGGTCAACCCACGGCTGCTCTGCCTGCCCGCCCCGTCTCTCCTTTCTAGCTGACCCCATCTGGGTGTCTCTGTCTGCCTGTGTCACTGTCCCTGCGTCTCTGCCTCTATGTCTCTCCCTTCCTGCGTCACAGTCTCTATGTCTGTTTGCCTGTGTCACTCTGTCACTTCCTGTTTGCCTGTGTCACTCTGTGTTACTCTATGCCTCTGTGTCTGTGTCTCTGCTTATGTTACTCTGTGTCTGTCTGTCTGCCTGTGTCACTGTCTCTATGTTTGTGTCACTGTCTCTGTGTCTCTCCCTTCCTCTGTCACTGTCTCTATGTCTGTCTGTGTCACTGTGTCTCTGTGTCACTCTGTCACTCTGTGTCACTGCCTGCGTCACTGTCTCTTGTGTGTCTGTCTGCCCGTGTCACTCTGTCCGTCTGTGTCTATGTCTGCCTGTCACTGCCATCTGTCTGTCTCCATCTTTCTCCTTATCTGCCCACCTGTCTCTCTCTCTCTGCTATCATCTCAGTGTCTCTGTGTATCTCTTTTCCTGTGTCTCTCTCCAAGTTCCTGAACCTAGATTCTGACGCCCCCATTGGCCTGAGGCAGGGTTGGGGGGGCTGTGCACAAGACGGAAGGTCACAGCCACCACTACAGGAGAGCATCTCAGGGGAAAATGACATTTCTTAGCCAGGAACTAACAAGCCCCCAGAGTGTGTGGCCTGGGGAGGGCCAGTGAGAAGCATCACTCACATCTCCCTTTCATGCTGAGGGGGTCGTCTGTCATCACAGGCCTCCTGGAGGCAAGGCCTCACTGGGTGCTACAGGTGGGCCTGTCTAAGGGCTCTCAGCTGCCCCTGGGAGCCACACCTGCCCATGGACAGATGAGGACGAAGTGGCCTGACACTGAGGCTCCTTCTTGGTCACATACCACTAACCCCACACACAGCCCCACAGGCCCCCTCCAGAGCCCTCCCTACCTCCCCCAGCCCCACAGGCAGGAAGAAGGGCCACTCACAGACTGTTCATCATGGTCCACACTCTGGGCCAGGACAGGGCTGAAGGAGACTGGGGACAGCGCCCCTGGCTTCTTCCGCACGGCCCGGATCTGTAGAAGGGCCCGGAAAGCTGTTGGCAGAAGGCAGGGCTCACGTCAGCCAAGTGGCAGCCATTTCAGCATGGAGAGGCCCTCCAGGCTTGGGGACCCTGACACCATCCACCCCACCCGCAGCAGTGCCCCCAGGACAGTCTTAACGAGGTGACTAAGGGCAGGGAAACGGCCACCTGCGCTGGCCGGGGTGAGGCCTGCACTGGGGTTCCTAAGGAGCAGGCAGCAAGACGGATGCATTTATCCAAACCACAGGACACGAGAAGGGGGACAGTGACTGAAGGGCAGCCTGCTCTCCAGGCAGAGACCCTTTCCTGTGCACAGCCCGGCCCTGAGTCCCTGCTGACACCCACCCCTGGCCATCTCCTTACAGCCTGGGTAACACAGAGAAGCTCACAGACCGACCGAGCCGGGTCCCACACCACCCTGCTCCCCACTCAAAGTCGGTCCAGCTTCAGCGGCACTTGCCTGCTGTCCTCCAGGGCCCAACACACACCCACCTGCAGGCCCCCCTCCCAGCCCTGCCTGTCCTGCCATGACTGTGCCTTCCTCCTGGGCTCTGGAGGTCCCTAGACCACACTGCCTCAGACTCCAGGTCCACACAGCCAGCCTGCCCAAGGGTGCGTGCACAAATACTCTCTCTCTCTCTCTCACACACACACACACAAAATGTGTACACACAAAAATGTGTGCACACACATACATGCAGAAGCATATGCACACGTGAGCACACACATACACGCTCAGTACACACAGGCATGCACATGTATACATGCACAGATACACACACTCTTCCCACAGCACACCTGCCATCATGGGGGAGGAGAGGGGCAATCACAGGACAAGTTGGTGCAGATGCGTCCAGTCCATGGGGTCAAAAGCATGGGTTCCAGGATGACCCCAGTTCTAAACCCACCCCTGCTCCTGCTGAGCTGCGTGATCTTGGGCAAGCCCCTCTCTGAGCCCCTAAACAGTGATGGGCGGGTGTGGCCGCCCGAGCCAGCCGTCAGGTACTCCCCGTCCCTGTTCAGGTCCTTGCCGGCTCAGCAGCTTGGGTGAAGCACTGGTGCTTTGAATAAGCTCCCTGGTGATGCTGATGCCACACCCAGGGCCGAGAGAGCAGGAAGGTCTTCTTTGTGTTTACTACTAGTGAACGCTCCCGAGATCAACAGGCGTCCTGCAGCCCCCACAGGCACCGCCCAGCACCACCCCCACAGTGCAGAACGTAAGGCAGGTGCAGGAGGAAGCCCACAGAGGGCCCAGCCGCAGGCTTGTTTTCACCCACTGGATCTCTCGCCCTGGCAGTCGCAGCACGCAGAGTTCTGCCCAACCTAACTGAGAAAATTTCTGGAGGGTTCCATAACCTCTATGGAATTCCTAGATCAATTTTATACCCAGACTGTTTTTCTGTTTTATCTACAATTATTTTTGCCAAAATAAATTCATTTCTACAGAACACAATTTCAAATTCTCATGGAATCCAGACTTTCTGGAGCCATGGAGGCTGGACGAACCCCTGAAACTACTGCTCTGAGATAACTTTAAACCTTAAACCAAAAATATCCCCTGAAGTCTTATTAAAACCAAGTGCTCATTTAGCTCAACTAGTAAAGAAAGTCTGCCTTGAGCACTATGCCTGTGGGACCTCCTAAGAGCTATGTATGTGGGATCTAACTGACAACAGCAACCAGAAAGGTTAGATGGAACCTTAGGGGCAGTGAGTTCATGTTAACGGGGGAGGATTGAATCGGAGCACGGACGGGGAGGGGAGAAGGGCTGCACAACTCGATGAGCATCTTCAGTGCCACGGAGCAGTACACGCAGAAACTGCTGAGCTGGCGTCTGTCCTGTGCATGGCTGCCACAACAGAAACTCACTGATTTAAAGCACCTCTGTGAACACACTCCTTTCCCTCCAAGCTTTAAGATAAAGCCTCAATTCACCGATCAGCTCCTGCCCTGTGTGAATCTCACAGTGACATCTGTCCTCAGAGCATCCTCTCAGCCACCGCTTCTGATGCTCCTAAATTCTGGGTCTGAATCATCCCTTGTGTGACCACAGCCACCACCCATTTTTTGCTGTGTTAATTAACACATCTGACCTGAACTTGCAGCCAATAAGCAAACTGTGGCTCCCTGGGGCTATGTGTGGTCCGGTACTGCTACGATGCTAACCCTAGCCTCCCTGCCGAGCGGTGGCACGGCTGCAGCGGGGGCCCACGGACAGCACTCACGCAGCCGGCAGATGGGGCAGTTGTTGGCCTGGTAGCGTAGGGTGTCCGCGCAGGAATTGCACAGGCAGAGGTGGCGGCAGGGCAGGATGAGCGTGTCCCTCAGGTCCGATAGGCACACCACGCACTCGCTGCTGTTGTCACCGTTCTCGTCATCCGAGGGCTGCAGGGGCAAGTGCCTGTGAGTCAGCGTCCCGAGAGCCAGAGGCTGGGAAGCCAGGGCAGGCGGGAGTCAAAGAGGCTAGTGCCGAGGAGGGAGCCCATGGTGCCCCAGCAGGCCCTGTGTGTCCTCGGAGCAGGCTCCAGGAACTGGCAGGTCTGAAACAGGAGTCAACAATTCTGGCCTGCCACCTGTTTTTATAAAGCTTGTTGAGCACACAGCTATGCCAATGAAGGCACATTTGTCTACGGTGCTTCTGCGCTACACTGACAGCTTGAAGCAGACATGGTACAGACCCTGTGGCTTGCCAGGCCAAAAAGACCCTGGGTCCTCCACACATAGCCCGCCAGCCCCTGGTTTGCTACGTATGGAGTACACAGGGCCGTGGACATCACCTGAGCTAATTCCTACAGGGGGAAGGCCCGGCAAACCAGCTTCTAGCTGGTTCCAGCTGGCCTCAGGAAAGCTGGGGCGTGAGGCCGTCAGAGAGCTTTTATGAAGCAGGCGGCAGTTCCGTTCACGCAGTGTGCCGTCAAAGATGATGTTAAAAGGGAAACGGCATCATCCTGTCTCCCAGCTATTCTTTCCCAGCCCTACTCAGCCAGGACCTGAACTTAATTGACTCACAACTGATTTTGTCAACCACTGCGCTCTCTCTCCAACATCTAGACTTTGCATCTCGAGAGTGAGTGGAGCGAGAGATGGGGGAGAGAGAGAAAGAGGGGGAGTGAGAGAGAAAGGGAGAAGGAAGGGGGGGAGAGTGTATGCAGGCTATGAGCCTGTGGCAGCCAGCAGGGGGCAGCATTGGCCCAACTGTGGACTGAGAGCCAGGGCTGCATCATCCTCCCCACCCCAAGACAGAGGTTCACGTAACAAGCCAGTGAATTTGTTTGAAAAAGGGCAAAATGTTCCATAATCTCCCAAAAGAAAAAAACTAAGACTGGAAAGATGTGATGAGCCACTCTGGGGGCGGGGAGTGTGGGAGAGGTGGGGAGATGACGTGGGAATCTGCCAGAACAGCCGTACCCCTCGAGGGACGGCAACTCCGTGGGGCTGGTACCTGTTCTGCTGTGTGTATTTTCACCAAAAATGTGAGACAAGTGATTATTTTTTAATTAAGAAGGACAAGGATGGGGCAAAATCCATTAAATGGGGAAGAGAATGTTTGTTTAATAAATGGTGCTAGCAAAACTGGAAATCCATTTGCAGAAAAATGAAACAAGATTTGTACCTCACACCATACACAAAAATGAACTCCAGATGGATCAAAGACTTAAATGTGAAACCTAAAACTATAGAGTTCCTCAAGGAAAAAACAGGGGCAAATTTAGGGGCCCTAATATATGGCATAAACAGACTATCAATAACTAAAAATGCACCAACAGTAGAAGAGAAACCAGATGATTGGCACCTTCTAAAAATTAAATTTTTATGTGCTTCCAAAGACTTCTCCAAAAGAGTCAAAAGAGAACCTACAGATTGGGAAAAAATATTTGGTAATGACATATCTGACAAGTGACTTATCTATAGAATTTATAGAAAACTCCAACACCTCAATAACAAAAAGACAAACAATCCAATTAAAAAATGGGCAGAAGACATGAATAGACCCTTCACCAAAGAGGATATTCAAGCGGCCAACAAACATATGAAGAAATGCTCACGATCATTGGCTATTAGAGAGATGCAAATCAAAACAATGAGATACCATCTTGCCCCAGCACTAGCAGCAAAGTTCAATGAGACAGAAAATAACAAATGCTGGCCAGGATGTGGAGAGATTGGGACTCTCATACACTGCTGGTGGGACTGTAAAATGGTACAATCATTGTGGAAAGCAGTATGGAAATTCCTTCAAAAGTTAGAACTAGAAATACCGTATGACCCAGCTATTCCATTACTAGGTATATATCCTAAAGAAGTGAGAGCCATGACAAAAACAGACATATGCACACCCATGTTCATTGCAGCACTATTTACAATAGCCAAAAGATGAAAACAACCTATGTGACCATCAACTGAGGAATGGATAACCAAACTATGGTATGTACACACAATGGAATACCATGCAACCCTAAAGAATAATGTAGAATCTGCAAAACACCGCATAACATGGATGAACTTGGAGGACATTATGCCGAATGAAATAAGTCAATCACAAAAGGACAAAATATTGTATTAGTCCATTATTGTAAAAGTCAAGGAAAGGTTTATCTATGGAAGAACATTTTCTCTGTTGGTTACCGGGGTGGAGGGGAGGGGAGGGAACACTGTTAAATAGATAGAGATAAGTATCGATTTGGGTGAAGAAAAGGGCAATGTACCAAATGTGAGTGATCAATATAGTGACATTGAGGAAGAAAAAGACATAGAGAGGTACGTGGGAGGTACAGACAACAAATATGAACCCTTTTGCACATACAGTACTGCGCTGTCAGTGAAGGCAAACATGGGTATACGGGTGGACAGGCTGAACTATTAGGTATGTCTATGAAGCAGGGAGTATACCCAAGAACAGGTTTAGGGTTGGCAGACAATGATCCTATAAGTTTACAAGTATTATCTGAATTCCCAGGCGTATAGTAGAGCTGACAAGGGGCAAGGCTGTAGTCACTGCTTGGTCACAGCTAGCTACCAAGAGGGACCTAGTAGTTGAACCTGTGGGCTCGGGACCACAGTTGCAGGGGACATCAAGTTCAATTGGCATAACATACTACACAAAACATTGTTCTACCTCCTACTGTGACAATTAGCGAATGGGATCTTAAAAGCTTGCAAGCTGCCATCTAGATGCAATGATGAGTCTCTCCTCGCCCAGAGTAAAGAAGAATGAAGAAAACCAAAAATTCACAGAAACAATTAGTCCTAGTGACTGGTACACCATCCAATCTGCAGCCTATATGACTATGAGACCAGAAGAACTAGACGGTGCCCGGCTACTACTGTCAACCACTTGGAAGGGGATCTGTGTTGGAGATCCTGGATAGAGAAGGAGAACAATGTGGAACAAACCTCAAAATCATTTGGAGAAAAAAAAAAGGGGGACCAGGTTTTCTGGTCCAATAGAGCCTGGTGGAACTACTGAGACTATGGCCTGTAGCTGCCCTTCAGGTATGGAACTGAAAGCAAATTGTGACTTCAGCCAAACAATAGACAGGCATATGAGCTGAACATTTACCTGAGGTACATACATTCCTTGGAGAGAACAATCATGGGAGAAAGAAGGGCTGCTTATGCACAGGGAGACAGCTCAGAGGGCAGCAGTACATGGAGGATGGACACAGGTAAGAGGTTAACTATGGGGAGGAAGTAGGAGGGGAGATGCTGCATTGTGGTAAATCGTGGTTGATGTTATGAGACAAAGTGTATGTGAACTGCTGTATGGAAAGTGAATCTGCTCTGTAAAGTTTTACACAAATCATAATTAAAAAAAAGAAGAGAAGGACAAGGATGGAGCGTGAGGAGCAGCCAGAGACCCCAGGAGAGGCGGGGGAGGTGGCTGGCTCTTCTCGCCAGCCCAGGGGCCTGGGCGCACGGCCCACGGTGGGGCTGGCCGCAAGGACATACCTTTGTCTCCTGGTTGTTCTTGTTCTCAATGCCGTAGATCTCCTGCAGCAGGTAGCTGACCCGGTCCACCTGGAGGGGAGAGAGGCATCCTGAGTGCTCCCTCAAGCTCGGCTCCCACCTGGCTCAGCCCCACCCCAGGAAACGGGCAGGCCCAGTGCCAGGTGCGGCTGCCAGGATACCTGTCACCTGCCTAGTCAGGCCAGCATCACAGGTTGGACAGCTGGGGCCCCCAGGGTGCTGCCACCACAGAGGGCCTGAGTCAAGCTCTACGGCCAGCACCCATACTTTATGGCTGCCCCCTCCCTGAAGACACCGCATCCACGACCAGCCCCTCAAAGAGACCAGAGTGGAGGCTGGAAGCTGAGGGCACTCAAGTACAGTAAGCTTGAGCCGCTACCACCTTATAGAAGCTCCCTCCCTGAAACGGGAAGCCATCTCTGCTCCCTAAGACACTGGGCCCATTTCCTACAGACACGTGTCCTCCCTGCCAGTCACCTCCGCATCATCTCCAAAAGCTGGTATAGCCACTCCTCCCGAGATGGGGGTCTTGGACCCTGTGCTGGGCCTGGGGGGGTTCTCTCCACCCACCTCTCAAACAACTAACAAAGCCCTTCCTGGGCTGTGATCTGAAACAGAGCTGGCTGGCATACAACAGCAGCCACACAGAGAGGAAACTGCCTTGGGACATGCACACACGGGGAAACTGTGGACCACGGCCTTGGGACACACAGAGGAAACTGCGGACACGGCCCTGGGACACGCACAGGAAACTGCGGACCACAGCCCTGGGGCACACACAGGGAACTGCGGACCACGGCCCTGGGACACGCAGAGGAAACTGCAGACCACGGCCTTAGGACATACGCACAGAGGAAACTGCGGACCACGGCCCTGGGACACGCAGAGGAAACTGCGGACCACGGCCCTGAGACACACACACACACAGGAAACTGCGGACCACGGCCCTGGGACACACACGCACAGGAAACTGCGGACCAC